GATTTTGGTTCTTTAGCTTTTAGGGGGTATGATTTGATTCCCATGAATCACACTACTCATACCACTCATTAATAATCTCAGACAGACTTGTGACTTCAGAAGCTTGTGCTATTTTACCAAGCTTTAATTTCGAACGCCGCGTATCCACTTTACGCATGCAGCGTTGACATACTTACTTAGGAACTTATGCGTTATAGATTTGTGGGCCTCACTCCATCTTACAACGAAACCTAATTGGGGTTTGGCAGAAGTCAGCTCTTTGTTATTTTGTGAACAACCACATACACGGAATTTATGAATTACGGAATGTGCAAGACACGCGCGAAATCTCACATTTTAGAGAGTGGACACGCGGAAATTATGATCGCGTTCTTACATGCCCTATTTAAAAGACTTGTGACTTTTGGAGCAAAAAAGGCCCGTCTTGCTCCTGTATCATGGAGAGGTCCGAAAAGCTTAGGAAGATGACGTCGGAAGTTATGGATGTGGTTAGACCAGATGAAGAAATTCAAGTAAGTAACTAAATCTCCCCCTCCTAATGTCCGCTTGCTATTAAATAAAACAATTGCATAGACGTCCTTGGTGAACAGCGGGATGCATGGGCCGACGAAAGCGCTGTGCAATTAGCATATTTGCAATGAGATGCGCCTCACGCCACTAAACTTCGTCAGGAATTCCTTTGTCGCGGACGAGGTATAAGAGTAGGGCGATGGACGGTATTTGAGGCGTAGCTTATCGAAGATTTTATTAAAAAGGACGAAGATTTTGTTCTGCCGACGTTTAGAAACGTCTTCAAGTAAAATAAGGGTGTCATGCGTGCATAACTCCAAAAACGCAAGACTGATAGAATTTGTAGTTGCTAGGTCGGCAAAAAAGATTGAGGGAGAAAATATTCCGCCTTCAGATGCCGTATACAGTTCATACCCCGAATCAGTGTTGGGATAAACAAGTAAGAAGTTATCCAATTGTGCATTTCCGACGGAACGCCATTCATGAAACGAAAGGATAACCTCAACAATGTCATCCTGATTGGACGCATGATTGTTTTCCCGCTTCAGAACATTAATATCACCAGTTATTTACAAATAATTTGTATTAGTCATTTACCTAGGGCAGAAAGTGCAATGGCTAAAGAACACCACCTTGCGGAACGTTTATATAGTAGGTATGCCATCTCATGAAATACTAACTGAAGCTCCGCAATGTGTTGGTGATTCGAAAAAATTGGCCAGGTAGGGTTGCGATATTAATTATCATGCAGCATAGTCCCAAGACGTCTCAATCGCTCGAGGATGACGACTCCTGAATTGACTTCTCTACAAAGATTACGCTCTGTAAGACAATATTTTCTTAAGTAGTAAGATTTTCTCCACTAATTTACGATATTCACAGTACAATATGAGCCCCATATGGTGTCTTCTAGATGGCCCGAATGAATATGTGATTTTTTTACATGGAAAGCATACAGCTTATAAATTGAAAACCCTAAACGCAAATGCAACAGCCTATCGAACTCAAAATTACCTGAGAATTGGAAAACGTTTCAAAACAAAGTCCAAAGATACCCTAACTTTAAACATAATATTTTGAGGAAACGGAATTTTCTACCAGACGTGCACAAGAAGGAATGTTTTTGTGTACGTTTTCAACAGAAAATATGGCAAGGGTATGGTACGTAACTCCCTTGGGGAGACCGCATTTAACCACAAACCTAGCGCCAACCATGGCCAACCAGTCTTCCTTGTCTTTGTCGGTAATATCATTCAATCTCTAACCTGTAAGCATTTAAGGAAACGTCGGACGTAAGCGCAGCCCTAAGCCAAGCCGTATAACCCTACCCCTAGCCTCTATTCTAAATTCAAACCATGACCCAAGCCTAGAAACCCTATTCCCAAGAATAACCCAACTAACACCAATCTTAACCGTTGTCCAAACCCTAACCTTGGGCCCAAAATGGGAAACTTTAATATCGGTAAAGCTACTGGAGGTCGAAATATGCTTCCTGCATAACCCCATTCGCGACTTACTACCAGGCAAACCGTTATGAGGCATATCAACCACCCGGGGAGGGGGGTTACATTCCCTACCCTTGCCGAACATATTTGAA